ATACAAATATGCTGCCTATAGGGGCCCCTCTCCCGTTGGATCATGTCCCAGTTTTTAAATTTAGCAACTTTGTTTTTCTCTTCTTAAAGGATCTCCCTAATTAATAAACAATAGAGTTTTTCTTGATTAGACATTGCTAGTATTTCTTTATCTATAATATTTATTTAAGCTTGCTTAGAGCTTTTCGTGCCAATCCCACCTACCACACCAAAGTTGCCAACATTCCATATGCTGAATGTCTTAAAACAAATCAAAAGAGGCGGGGGGAATGAGAATACCTGTCAATAATCCAGTTTATCTGGTATTTGAGAGGTTATTTATCTGAAAATTATAAAGAATAGAATTGAGAGTTTAGAATAATTATCTCAAAATTCGAGAATTATAATAATTACAGTATCCATTCTAAATAAGTAAATATGTCATGAATAATATACAATAATTTTTGCTATTTCCGCTACTGTTTCTTTGTTGAAAAATAAACATTAGGTTGTGTGTGAGATTATAGATGATAACTTTTTGGTGACGACTTTTGTTTAACGTTCTCTCCTTTTCTTCTCTATTGCCTAAAACTGAAATTCCAATCTTTGACTCATGCTTGACATTTTTGGCATGTTGGTTACTTCAATTGCAACTTTTCAACCACACAATCGACGTTAATGATCAATGATTGAGAAAGACAATATTGAATTTGAGCAGAAATTATTATATGGTACTGGAATATAATTATGTTATATAATTCATTCACATGTATTAATATAGACAGATGACATGGTTAATATTTCACACTTTTAAGATATAATATTAATAAATATTCACTTAGATTATAATTCGTCAACGTGATCATGTTGAGAGTGAATCAAAGAGTTTGAAATGTCTGATCAAGTTAAAATGAAGCAGCAACCCAGATATTGTCTGATCAAGCCAAATCATCTACTATAAAGTTCCATGTTATTATAGTAGATGAAAGCTTTCAATGCCCGAATCGAGACCAGTACATATTCTGGGATGCTTTCCACCCAACAGCAGCAGCTAACATCATAATTGGGAGGAAAGCTTTCAATGGGGACCTTAGCCAGGTTTATCCCATGAACATACAGCAGCTTGCCACTCTTAACATTAAAAGCAGCCCATAGAAAACTTATGATATTTCTAGTCATTTTCATGGTTCTATTTTACCATTTGGATCTGTATCCATTTTGATTTGACCACTTTGTTTGAGTGTGGAAAATGTAATACTGCACATCAAAGACTCTTGTCCATGCTTGTGAGAACCTGGTTATTCCATTAAAAAACCATTTCCTCCCTTTTTCTTTTGATCATGATAAATGTCTTTCAGAATCAGCCAATCAATGTCAACTTTGCATTTGCCGTGGTCGATTTGGTGTACAACCTGTGCCTTGCCTCGTGCTTAACCTAACTTTCAGACTTGAATTTCCATCTACTTTGAGTGAAGAGTATTTCAAAACCTCTTCCCCCTTAAAAGCTTTGAGCAATGAGAAGCGAAAATGAAAAACCAGAGAAGTGAAACACAAACCAACCAAAGCCATGGAAGAAGATACAATAGTCCTCTACGCAGCTCCAGGAATGGGGCACATAATCTCCATGGTTGAGCTAGGCAAGCTCATTCTCAATCGTTACCCCGGAAAATTCTCCATTACCATTCTCTACACTTGTGGCTGTTTTGTCCCTTAAAAGCTTTGAGCAACGAGAAGCGAAAATGAAAAACCAGAGAAGTGAAACACAAACCAACCAAAGCCATGGAAGAAGATACAATAGTCCTCTACGCAGCTCCAGGAATGGGGCACATAATCTCCATGGTTGAGCTAGGCAAGCTCATTCTCAATCGTTACCCCGGAAAATTCTCCATTACCATTCTCTACACTTGTGGCTGTTTTGTTGACACTCCAAGCATCCCCGCCTACATCCAGCGCATCTCCCTAGCCCATCCTTCCATCTCCTTCCGCCAATTCCCTCGCGTTCAAATTGAAAATACATTAATTGGAGCAGCCATAATGTTCGATTTCATTCGCCGAAATGATCCTCATGTCCGCCAGGCCCTCCAAGAAATTTCTAAATCTTTAGCCATTCGCGCTTTTATCATCGACATCTTCTGCTCCTCTGCTATGCCAATGGCGAAGGAACTCGGCATTCCCACCTACTACTTTTACACCTCTGGCGCTGCAGCTCTTGCGGCTTTTCTGTATTTCCCAAAAATCGGGGAACAAACCACCAAGAGCTTCAAGGATCTGACTGAGACTGTTTTGGAGTTTCCCGGGTTGAAGTCTCCCCTGAATGCCCCCCACATGCCTGAGGCAATGCTTGATCGAGACGACCCTTCGTATTGGGACATGGTCTACTGCTGCTCCCACCTTCCCAAATCTAATGGGATCATAGCCAACACGTTTGAAGAGCTCGAGCCTCCTGCAGTCCTCAAAGCCATTGCTGAAGGTCTTTGTGTTCCTGATGCTCCCACTCCTCCTGTCTACTATATCGGGCCGTTGATTGCTGAAGAAAAAGAATCTAGGGATTCTACAGAGGCAGAAGATTGTTTGTCATGGCTTGATCAACAACCAAGTAGAAGTGTGGTGTTTCTTTGTTTTGGAAGCAGAGGATCATTCTCAGGGGCTCAATTGAAGGAGATAGCAGATGGGTTGGAGAAGACTGGACAGAGGTTTTTGTGGGTAGTGAAGAAGCCTCCCCTTGATGAGAAAACCAAGCAGGTCCATGGAGTACATGACTTTGATTTGGAGGGTTTGTTGCCAGAAGGGTTCATGGAGAGGACCAAAGATAAGGGCTTGGTGGTGAAGTCATGGGCGTCGCAGGTGGCAGTGTTGAAGAAGGAATCGGTGGCAGGGTTCGTGACACATTGTGGGTGGAACTCGGTGCTTGAAGCGGTGATTGCCGGCGTGCCGATGGTGGCATGGCCGCTCTATGCAGAGCAACATTTGAATAAGAGTGTTTTGGTGAAGGACATGGAAATGGCGATTGCAGTGGAGCAGAGAGAGGAAGATGGGTTTGTGTTTGGGGATGAATTGGCGAGAAGCGTTAGGGAGTTGATGGAGTTTAAAAAAGGGGAAGAGCTTAGAGAAAGGAGCAGGAAAATGGGAGAGATGGCTTTGGCTGCTTGGAGTGAGTCTGGTTCATCCACTAGAAACTTGGTTAACTTTGTTAATAGCATTACATAAGTTATGGATTTGCACTTTGCACTTGGTGAATAAAAAAATAAAGGGGAATACCAAGGGTGCATCTTCTTGTTCACCTTATTGTGCTTAACAAATACTTTGCACTTGGCGAATAAAAAAATAAAGGGGAATACCAAGGGTGCATCTTCTTGTTCACCTTATTGTGCTTAACAAATCTTCTGGGATCAATGGCGGACCTATTAAGGTGCAAGAAGGTGTAGCTGCACCTCCCCTCGCCAGAAACACCATTATAGGTGCTTCAAATTGCCCATTTGCTCAGCTGGTGGTGGTGCACTCTTGGTGTACTGATTACCTTATTTCCATTTTCAGCATTTAAGTAAATGTTTTTGTCCTTTGCTCTGCCGTTTGGTCACTGGAGAAGTTTTGCCCATATCGGCACATAGTTGCTTTGAACTTTTGTTTGTTCATCAATAATATGTTGTCGCTTATTTTCAACCAAAAAAAAAAAAAGAAGCAACCATTAGAAATTATTGTACCTTCCATATATTTCTAGTAATTAAATTTGGGTGCTTTCTTTCTACTTTACCATTTGGCTCCATCCGTTTTGATTTTATGTATACGTAATTTGTTTGAGTGAGGATAATGTAACACATCAAATTTATATATTCTCAGTTTGTAAACACTATGTTTTCATTTGGTTAAATTGAGTGTCATGTATAGTGGTTATCATTCTATTTTATTAAAGAAAAAGATTATAAGAAAGATTCTTGATATCACACTACAAAAAAAGTCAGAAATAGTTACCATTTTTATTGGTGACTATTGGCAGCAACGATCACCTTTGTTGGTGAGTAAGCCCTATAGTAACGCTGCAGTTACGAATTTTGGGTTGGTGATATATGTCCTTTGTCACGAATTTAACAGCTTCGCGACAAATTTTAGTTGACTGTCAACAGCCTCTGAAGTGCATGGGGCGCATAACACATCAAATCAACTTTTGCCTTATATTTTAATATATCTAAAGTTTTACTTAAATCTTTATTTGTGTATTAAATTTCTATTTGATATATTTCATTTTCTTTTTTTATTTGGTGTATCTCTTCCTTTTCATTTTTCAATAATTGACTAATAAATATACAGTAGTTGAATAATATATATATGTACAATCACTACCATTCAATACACAAAGAAACAATTCAATAATTATATCATTTGATTGCAATTCCATTACAATTTTCAACCAAAAATATTAATTATAATTCTCTAATTGATTAATTACAATTTAGTCTTATGGCATCTTGAGTGTTTTATGTCCTCATCATCTTCATCATCTTCATCATCTTCATCATCTAAAAAAGAAAAACCAAAGCATAATCCAAGTCAAACACAAGTATAATCCATAACTCGATTAACAAACGAAAAATCTAAAAAAACAAAATGACAGCCCATAATTCAAACCTAAAAATCAAAATAGTAAGTACAAAAATCAAACTCCAACTGGTAAAAATTAATTATATCTTGAGCGTTTGTTCTTTGTCCTCATCATCTTCATCATCTGAGAAAAAGAAAAACCAAATATAATCCATAACTTGATTAACCAAGCAATAATCTATAACATACCGAAGAAACGAAAAAATCTATAAAAACGTAATGAAAGCCTTGGATTGAAACCTAAAAATCAAAATAGAAAAGTACAAATATCAAACTCCAAAGGGTAAATCTAATTATGATAGAGGGATGGTGTGGGATCGCCATCAATGCTCTGGCGGCGGTAGATCTGAATTCTGATGATAGAACCCTTAGAGCATCCACAGTGGGGGGTGTATATGGGGGTGTATGTTAAATATACACCCCGAGTCACCGGAATCGTCTCCAATGGTGAGATGTAAATGGATGTAAATATACATCACAACCATGGGGATGTAAAATAAAATGTATATTTACATCCATTTTTACATCCTTGCAGGCGGGATCCACCCGAGAAAAGAGAAGAAAAATGAAGAAAAGTCAACATAAAAGGCTGGGACTCACAGCTATACCCCCGAATTTACACCCCCCACTGGAGCAAAAAGCATATTTACACCCCCCGGAGGTGTAAAGGGGATGTAAAAGTGGCTTTACACCCCCGAATTTACAGCCCCCATTGTGGATGCTCTTAAAAAGTTAAACAAACACTACAACTTACATTAAAAACTGAAATTTTTATTTAAGGTTTAAGAATAAGTCGAAGAAGAAACCCAGACGGACCTTAAGCCTTATTGCAAGAATGGGCAGTGTAAGAGAGCCATTAAAACATAGAAGAAGAGCTACCAAGAAGAAGATAAAAACGAACTTGTGTTTTCTTTTTGCTAGTTTGGCTTGGCTTTTGTTTTTTTCGTGCATATTAAAAGCTTTAGTTTCTTCAAAATAAAAATAAAAACTCAAAGTTTGAATTTTTAGTACAAAACAACATTGGTAATGTTGAAAAAAACTGGGTGGTAGTTGGCCTGGTTTTGGTTTCTCGATGCATATTAAAAGCTTTAGTCTTTTTTTTAAAAATAAAACTTTAATTTGAATTGTTTAACGTAAAAGCACACCGGGAATGTTGACAACTAAAGGTGGGAGTTATAATAAAAACAAAGCTAACCAGAACTCAAATCAATAAAATATTACACTTTTTCAAGTTTCCAATACACTTGAATTAAATATAATAAGAACAAATCATTGACCATTACCTAAATGTAACGAAAACTGATTTTGTTACCGTGAAAACGACACTAGAAGGAAATCAAATCAAAGTTCACTGTTGAGTGAAATTACATGTCCATCTACCTAAATGGTGAGGACTATTGCCCCCTTTTTTTCGTAGTGTCAAATCAAATCAAATTAGAAAATCAACGACACTAGAAGGAAATTAGAAAATCTACCTTAACAACGACACTAGAAGGAAATTAGAAAATCAAAGTTCACTGTTGAGTGAAATTACATGTCCTAACTCTGAAATATAAAAAATATGTTGAAATTGAAATAGCTCGAAGTTGAGAAAAAGAAGTCTTTGAATTTATTTTATCTTCAACAAATTATGCAAAGGAATATTATAGTAGTAGAACAAGGTTCAAATATCAATCAAAACTTTATAATTCCTTCAATAATTAAACTTTTATAATTTAAACGTATTGCCTTCATTTATCATAGTTGTTGGAACTAGCTCGTAGATTGTACATTTTTCTTCTCTCTTCTTTTGGTTTTTTGGTTTTTTGGTTTTTTTGGTTTGTGGTGCCGAACGATAGAAATGTATTAGATTGTATTTGAAAGGTTTACGTCCAAAACAAGAACATTAATAAAAGGGCATGTTGGCTCCACCAACATTAGGCGTGCTACTATATTTGGAAACTCTTTTTAATACTTTGCTGTCAGCTAGGTCATAGCAAATGAAGTGTATTTGCTAACAGGTCTTTTTTGCCATAACTTCATTATTAAAATTCCTAAAACTCTATATTGGCAGCTAGGTCTAGGTGTCTTTACATATTGAGTTCCAAGAGTGGTGGTTGGAACCTTATTCTACCTGCCTCGAACTTACGTCGTTTACCAAACTATAAGAGACTAGAGAGAGCATCGTAATAATTAACATGTGGTAAAAGCAAATTACTTTGACTAATGGGTCATTTGGTTCGATCCAGATCTTTGGTGTGTTCCCAAGTGGTTATGAGTTTAAAAACTTATTGTAACTATGTGTTCCCCTCCCTTTTGGCAAAAAAAAGAAGAAGAAAAAAGCGAACTAATTTGAATTTTTGTCTGAGGTGGGTTAGGGAGTGCATTGCGAATTCTCTTACCAAAAGACTAGAGATAGCATAGTAATAATTATATATATATATATATTTTTTTTTATTACAAGTGATAGTCTAAATTAGAGGGGGGTTTCACTTGAGGCCTTTCACAGCATCATAATTACTAACTAATTTTTTGTTTTTTGTTTTTTTTGTTTTTTTTAAAGAAGCATCGTAATAACTAGGGCTGGCAATGGGTCGTGTCGTGTCGGGTTCGTGTCGTGTCAAACTTTTAAACGTGTCAAGAAACCCCAACCCAAACACGACCCATTTATTAATCGTGTCAGGAAATGCAAACCCAAACCCAACCTGTTTATAAACGGGTTGACACGACACGACCTGTTTATGACCTGTTTACTAAACAGGTTGGGTTAGGTCATAAACAAGTAACCTACCTGTTTAATAACCTGTTTATTAACTTGCTTGGGTTATGTCATAAACAGGTAACCTACCTGTTTAATGACCTGTTTAAAAACCTGGTTGCTTCAAATTTAAATTCTAACAACCATCTCAAATATTTTGCCAAATCAAACATTCCAAAATGACAATAAAATTAAAAACTTCAAAGTCAGTCTAAAATCCAAATCAAACATAAACAAAAAAATCTTTGATTATATTACAACATAAAATACAACATCACATTCCCAACTCAAATATTCAGCCACCATTGTAATACGCAGACGGATAAGCATTCGGGAGATAGCATAGAGATGGATCCATGAAATCAGGTCACGGAGCGCTCTGATTGGATCTGACCATTTGCAGCATTTCCAGAATCAATAGACCCATATTGATTAACAGAAGGCTGCATTGAAAAAGCAACTAACCTTAGAACCACATATCAGATTAAATAATTGAATGTTTCAGTATGCTTTTCAAGTTCCACTTAAATTCAGCAAATAACCATATTTTCTTTGATTCCCAGAAAATTAGCAGTTTGAAATGTATGGTACCTTCTTAGTTGGCTCAGGAATTTCCAGGATCTTGGTTTGAGAATCTAATGACAACTTCTGTAGCAAATCTGCTGCTTCTAAAGAAAGCAAACGGTGAAGGAAATACATACTTTTGTAATAGACATATACAATCAACAAACAAAAACAACACGTGAATCCTTGTTTTAATTAATAACAACAGAATAAAAAGCCTTGATGATAGAACCCCCAATCGATTGATAAGCTAATAATAAATCGAAAAGTTTAAAGCCCAGAAAACTTCGGAACAAGAAAATAAAGAAATCTAAATGAACAGGAATTGAAAGACAAAGATCTTCCAAACGTAGGGAAACGAAAGAAAAAGATAAGAAAAAAATACCCATAATTATTTCCCGAGAGGAAAGCAGTCTCAGGCTTAGCTCTTCTTCTCTGGGAGGCAGAGACGGAGGCTGAGAGATGCAGATGATGGGAGGCAGAGACGGAGACTGAGAGAGAAAGGAGCTGACGGCTGTTAGGGTTAGGTTTTGGAATATGAGAGAGAGAATGTTTACATTATATATTGTGCTGTAGGTTATTAGGGTTCAAAGTAAATGGGTTTTGTACTATATAGATTACCTTATTTTCATCTCCAACATTTAAGTAAATGTCTTTGTCATTTTACTTTCATTTATTTTTATATTACTCCATTTACTTAAGTTTACAATGTAAATAAGGAAGTACCCCCCATTTGGATTCAAATAAAAATACTAGAAAATCAAATTCCCACCAAATCAAAATATGAAAAATCGGTTTTAGTGCAAAATACGATTTAGGCTAAAAATGATGGCTCATTAAGTCAATATATACTTCATACTTAAATCTCATAAAATCAAGTTTTCTTATTTGATGTGTAAGGAACAAAAACCGCCAAAAATTATCTCGAGAAAAATGATTATTCCGAAAAACCATTTTTCATACTTAGTCAATATTGCACCTTCGCTAAAAAAGTGACATGATACAAATTTTGCAAGTTATACGAAATTTCTTTTGGGATTAGGATTTAGGAATTAGAGTTTTGAGTTTTGAGTTTATGGTTTAGGGTTTAGGGTTTAGGGTTTAGGGTTTAGAGTTTAGGGATTAGGGTTTAGAGTTTAGGGTTTAGGGTTTAGGGATTAGAGTTTAGTGTTTAGAGTTTAGGGTTTAGGGATTAGAGTTTAGGGATTAGAGTTTAGGGTTTAGGGTTTAGAGTTTAGAGTTTAGGGTTTAGGGTTTAGGGTTTAGGGTTTAGAGTTAGGGTTTAGGGTTTAGGGATTAAAACGTTAAACCCTAAACCCTAGATACATAATTAACTCAAATAATAATGAATAATTACTAACAAATATAATTTAGGGATAAAAATATAATAAGTAAGTGCTCATCAGTTTGTAAAGACATTATAAATATCAAATGTTGTAACATATAATCACAAAGTTATCCACACTAAGATGGATAAGGAGCAAGGAGAAGGGTGGAATTGGCTGGGGTTCGAAACACATTGGGTGTGCTGAAGGTTCAATTTCTTTAATTTTTTTTCGCGGGTTGGCAGGTAGTAAACGGGTTGACACGACCCATGACACGACCCGTTTAATAAACGGGTTAAAACAGGTATTTAAACGGGTTGGCGGGTTGACCCGAAACCCACCCGTTTATAAATGGGTCAGTGGTGGGTTGACCCGAAAATTACCCATTTATTAATGGGTCGTGTTCGTGTCGTGTTTTTCCCGTGCGGGTTTCGAGTCGTGTAACGGGTCGAGTCGGAAATTGCCACCCCTAGTAATAACTATTAACGTGTGATAAAAGCAAACTACTTTGAACTTTGGTCTCTTTTGCCTATTGGTTTTGCTTGGGCCTCGGGCATCGTTTGTAAATTGTAACCAAAGACCAAAAAAATAAAATAAAATAGCAAGGGAATTTGAAGCTGCATGCAGCACAATGCTGGGAAGGTAAACTCTTATTTATCCTTGAACAAAAATGGACTCTTTACTTCAATTCCTGCACGTAAGATACCCGGTGAAAACATTTATTTCATTCACAACCACCGCCTTGCCTCGCCTATTAAATCATCAGTTGCATGCTCTTGCCAATACTCAAAAACCTCATTCATTAAGAGAGATCAGGGGTTCGGTCTCTGCTCTCGTACATAGTCACCACTTTGACCAACACTTTACCCCTTACGGGCCGACCCGGTGTGAGTGGGGATTAGTCTGGGTTGTGGTTAAGGCTTAAAGGTGCCACCCATAGTTGGGGCCCATTCAAGACCACCTCATGGTTCAGACCAAAAAAAAAAAAAAAAAACCTCATTCATTATCAACATGCTCATGTTGGGCCACTAAACGGGCCGATATGGGCCCACACCAAATTTGACATGTACTGTATTTTTTTTTTGTAATTTTTTTACAACTTCATTTAAATATTTTTTACAATTATGTATATACAAACAAGATTTATTATTTGTTGAAAAAATAGGACACTAGATAATTGTTTGAGTTTTAAAAATTGAAACTTGAAAAACAAAATTATTATTTTATATATAAAGAAAAAAAAAAATATATATATTATTAGAAAAAAGAAATAGACTTGAATTTAATATATAAATATAATAATATTATGTAATATTTTTCTCTAAAACAAATATAATTTAATAAATGAGCTTTAAACGGGCCAGCCCATTGGGTTTTAGGTCGGCACAACCCATAATGAGTTACGGACTGGCCTAGCCCATTAAACCTAATTACCTTGTCCCAACCCGCCAAAAGATACAGGACATGTTAGGGTTTACTTAAGCGCAAATTGAAGCTAACAAATTATATGAAAGAATAGGAAATTGAACATAACAAATTGACACCTTTTATGAAGGCTTAAATTGTGTATGAAGTCTTAGCTGCAATCCTTTAAATTCTCATTCAATTCTCATATTAATTGTTTTACCTGTTTGATATTTAAGGCAAGAGTATATATGGGGAAACTCCATTGCAACTGTGATCCCTATATTGAGTATATGATGTATTTGCATTAGAAGAGTCCATTTGAATCTTTAGTTGATGAGTTCTTCTTTCTTTTATTTTTCTTTAATCATAGGTAGGCCTGTAAAATGGGCCGGGCCAGGCCAACCCGACTCTAGGAGTTATGAGCCAAGGCCCTAGTATTGACAAGCCCTACCACGGGCTATACTATTTCGGGCTTTTAATTCGAGCCTACTCGACCCATATAATTTTCAAACTAATATTTAGAGATTTTAAACACCAACTTAGGAATTTATCAAAAATCTCAACTAAACATTTTGTAAAAAGTCCAACTTGGCTTTTTACACGAGCCTATACGGCAAAAATCTCAAAGAAATAAGCCCATATCAAGTTGACATTCTGGGCCAAAGCGCCTTGGTAGGGTGGCCTTCAAATCTGGGTAAAACGCTGCTGGGGTGGGTGAAGATGGGTCAGGATCTAGTGAGAACGCTTATGTGAGAACATAACATGAGAACACCATTGGATCCAATCTAACGGCTGTATGAAAAGCAATTGTAAGTGTAAGTGTTGTATTAGAACGAGGCCTTCTTCTCTCTTCTCCCTCCAATACTCTCTTCTCCCTCCAAAACGTCCCCTCCAAAACAGACGTCACCTCCAAACACAAGTCCCCTCCAAACCAGCTGTTCGCTCAGTTCAATGAGGAGGCCATTTTTTTATCATCTTTGATTGAGGAAGAACTGTAACATTGAAGAGAGAGTACCCTCATTTTTCTGGGTTTCCCATTCAGGCGAAACAAAGTAATCTTGGATTTTATAATTTCATCTTTGTGGTTGGGTTTTTGGGATCGGGACATACGTCAATCCTTGAGCAACGTCGAAACTGGCGTTGAGTTGGAAAGTGCTGACCGTACCGTTGTGGTTCTGCTCTGTTGGTTTTGAAATCCTTGAGCGGGGGCGAAACAGGGGTTGAGGAAGAAGAAAAGTTTTTGGGGTTGACGTCCAGATCTAAAAGGGCTACGTTACGTTGTCATATTTGTTGAAAATTTGAAGTTGGAAATCAGTTACGAGGTAAGCCATATACTGTATTTGTCAATTTCTTTATTGGGCATCAGCATGAGTCAGATTAGGTTGTATGTATGTGTTTAATGTTTCACCAGAGAGTCATTTGGATGTCATATGTTAGTTGATATATATTTTAAAGCTGTTTGAAATCCTGTGCCAAATATTGGGCATCAGCACGAGTTACGTTAGTGTGTATGTAGGTCTTTAATGTTTCACAGATAGTGATTGTAATGTCATATATGATGGTGGTGATGTGATATTCAGGGTTAAATTGCAAGAACTGTGAAATGGAGTGCGAAGGACAGGTGACACCAGAAGTTAGTTCGGAATTGAAACCAAAATTGGGACTTGAATTTGATTGCTGTGAGGATGTGTTCAATTTCTATAATATGTATGCTGCGAAAGCCGAATTTGGCATTCGGTGTTCTACAACGAGAACGTGCACATTCACTGGAGAGGTAACAAGGAAAGAATATATATGCTGTAAACAAGGTATGTGTTGACAAGCACTGTTAGTCGTAAGAGAAGACAGCGAGGTTGTACTCGAACTGGGTGCAAGGCTAAACTTGCGATTTTGAAGGTAAACGAGAAGAATAAGTACACTGTCGTAGGATTCAATGAGGTACACAACCATGACATGACCACAGTTGATAAAGTCCATCTATTGAGATCTCACCGTAACTTAATAGAGTCTACAAAGGCCTATAGTGCACATACGAGCAAAGTTAATATCCCTGTACATAAACAGGTAAGCCTTCTTGAGGTGCAAGTAGGGGGATTGGAAAATGTTGCGTTTGTTAGGAGAGATGTCTATAATTATGCAAGGGACGTGCGTGGGGAGCTGATTGGGCATGATGCAGAGCTGCTGAAGGAGCATTTTTTGGCTGAGCAAGGAAAAAATGAATCATTTTATTTCAATATGGAGGTAGATTCGGAAGGAAGGATGTGAAATTCTTTCTGGGCAAATGCAAGGTCAAGACGAGCTTATGGGTTTTTTGGGGATATGGTGGTATTTGATACGACGTTCAACACGAACTGCTATGGGATGGTCTTTGCGCCTTTGTTAGGCGTTAATAACCATAGGCAAACAGTGTTGTTTGGTTGTGCATTCCTAACTAGTGAAAACACAGATTCATTTGTATGGTTGTTCGAAGAATTCAAGAAAGCCATGCCAGGTGAGCCACCCAAAATGATCATCACTGATCAAGATGCAGCCATGTCAAAGGCAATTGCTTTAACTCTCCCAACAACATTCCATAGATATTGCATATGGCATATCTTGAATAAGTTTATGGAGAAACCCGGCATTGGGGAATGTTTTTCGGAAATGTGCAAATGCATATGGGGTATGGACACGAAAGAAGAATTTGAT